ATATATATATATATATATAGATACAACTTGATTAAGATACATGTCATTAGTGCAGTACTCACAAAGTAAAACTTCAGAAGTGTTATAAGTGTCATCTGACCTGAACTGAAGTGGCTACATGTAGATTTTTTAAAAAATTTAACCATCTTAAAAAAAGATGCATCTGTATCTGACATGAATCACTATAAAGGTCTGTGCAGCTCTTTGCAAGAAGGTTTCATGTTCTTCTTCCAAATATTACTACAAAGGATTTTTTTCTTTTGTTTTTCTTTATACAAAAATGTACAACCACAGAAATACATAGTTTACCAAGATGAACAGGACTGCAACTAATTTACACACATTTTGACTTAACATTACATTTTTCAACACACTTAGTTGTAAAAAAAAAAAACTTACACTGAAACTTACATTATATCCGGTCGCACCATCACGCTGTCCTCTGAAGTATAGCAGAGATTGATAACCAATATAAACATTTTTTTAATGAAGTGTTTACTCTAAAGTATGAAACATTTCAAATTGTCTTTTGAAAATTCGATGTGCTTTTGTAAGAGTCACCACTAAGGTTCCGACCTGTGGGGTTTCTGGAGGGGGCAGTCAAACCCCTACATAGACTTAAACTTTTCCAATTTTTCAAATTATAGTTACTCACCTGTGCGAGTTCTCATGTGGTACAACAAATGAGTGCGCTGCGTAAAACGTTTTCCACATGTTTCACAAGAATATGGCTTCTCGCCTGTGTGGGTTCTTTCATGGTGCAACAAATGAACACGCTGAGTGAAACTCTTCCCACATGTTTCACAAGAATACGGCCTCTCACCTGTGTGAGTTCTCAGGTGGTGCAACAAACTACCATAGTGAGTGAAATTTTTCCCACAAGTTTGACAAGAATACGGCTTCTCACCTGTGTGAGTTCTCAAGTGGGCAGTTAAACCACTACTTACACTGAAACTTTTCCCACAAGTTTCACAAGAATAAGGCTTCTCACCTGTGTGAGTTCGCAAGTGAGCAGTTAAACTACTATTTAAACTGAAGCTTTTACCACATGTTCCACAAGAATACGGCTTCTCACCTGAATGAGTTCTTAAGTGGTACAACAAATTACCACGCTGACAGAAAGTTTTCCCACATGTTTGGCAACAATAAGGTCTCTCTCCTGTGTGAATTCTCGTGTGGCTTTTGAGCCCTGATGCATCTTTAAACCTTTCCCCACATGTGTTGCAGGGGTAAGGTTTCTCACCTGTGTGTGATCTCATGTGGACAGTCAGATTACTATTATCAATGAAACTTTTCCCACACATTTCACATGAATATGGCTTCTCACCAGTGTGAGTTCTCATGTGGCCCAACAAATGATCACGACGACTGAAACTTTTTTCACACATTTCACAAGAATACTGTTTCTCACCCGTGTGAACCATCATGTGGACTTTCAGCCGAGAGCTAAAGCTAAAACTTTTCCCGCATGTTTTGCAAATATGTGGCTTCACACGTGTGTGGATTCTGTGATGTCTCTTCAGTTGGGGTTTATTCTTAAATGCTTTCCCACAAACATCACATATTGCAGATTTTTTACTTTTGTCAGCATCAGAAGGACTCTCTGACATGGAAGAATTATCTACATTGTTACTGTGCCTGCTGGTTGTTTGGCATCTCTTTTTTTTCTTCAGCTCTGCATTACCAGTTGATTCTGAGTCTACATGCTTGCTTCCTTCCTGCTCTTGGCTCTCAGATACAGGAGAATTGTGAGAGAAGAGCTGGTCACTGTTTGGTTCTGGTTCACTCTGGTTACTGTCCTCAAAAGACGTTATCACTACAAAGGTATCCATCTCCTGTTTCAGGACAAAGTGCTCTCCCTCCTGATTGATGCAGAGTTCTTCCTGTTCCTCTTTGATCTGCAGAGACTCTGGGTCCTCCTGATCCAGACTGGTGCAGAATTCCTTCTGTTCCTCTTTGATCTGCAGAGGCTTTGGATCCTCCTGGAGCAGACTGGTACAGAGGTCCTCCTGTTCCTCTTTAATCTGTGGAAGCTCTGGGTCCTCCTGGTCCAGATATGAGTTCCTTTCCTGGTTACAGAGCTGCTTCTCAGTGAGAACCTCCTCCTCCTTACAGACATGTTGCTGTGGGAGGTCTGCAGGGACAAAGACACAAGAAAAAGGTCACTAATATGATAACAGGAAAACACACATCTGAGCAAATATTCCATCCATCCATCCATTATCTCTACACCGCTCAATCCTCATTAGGGTCGCGGGGGGGCTGGAGTCTATCCCAACCGACTTAGGGTGAAGGCAGGTTCACCTGGACAGGTAACCAGTCTATCACAGGGCTACACTTAGAGACAGACAACCAAGCACACTCACATTCACACCTACGGACAATTTACAATCACCAATTAACCTCAGCATGTTTCTGGACTGTGGGAGGAAGCCGGAGAACCCGGAGAGAACCCACGCTGCACGGGGAGAACATGGAGACTCCACGCAGGAAGATCCCGGGTGTCCTCACCGGGACGCCAACCGGCGACCTTCTTGCTGTGAGGCAACAGTGCTATCAACTGCGCCACCTTGCAGCCCCTGAGCAAATATTTTCTAATGTAATTCACTGAATCCAAAGCAATCTCTAGATGTGTTTTGCTCCTGTCACATTTTCACTCACTGTGAGCACCTTTTTGGAATCAGCACAACCATGGCTAAAAGTAAATGAATAAACTTGTTGTAAATGTATTCTGTGCAAGATAATGCAGTTACAATGCCTGGATGTAGCTACCAACAGCTTTCCGATAACTTGCTCTTCTGTATACTACTTCAAAACTATGCCACATCTTTTTCACTAATGAAGTACGATTTACTTTCTGCTCAGTCTCGTTTTGAAATGGAAGCTCACGACACGTTTCAGAAATACATCTGAGAAATGTGAGCAGCGGAGACAGGTGAAGTGAAGACAGCATTACACATTGATCTACTTGAAGTGCAACACAAGCTTCCCAACAAGTGCTAGTCCATCGAAAACCAAACATGGACTCATAGCAACCCCAGCCATCTGAAAGTCAGGCCAAACTACCCGTGTTTTTTGACACCTGGACCTGGTGAGAGTGGCTGATGTAAGTCAGGGACACAAGTTCTGGCCAGAGGATGAGCAGCTCTTGTGTTTGTAACATTACAACTGCACCTTTCAATAAGCACAGGACAAAACTTGACCCATACTTGATTTCAAAGGCAGAAGAGGAACATTTATTCGTAACAAACGGTCCAGTTTTTATCAGTGCAGAACAACAAAATGAAAAAAGAAAAGCCAACAGAGAAAAGCACAGTAAGGCATCCCCAGCATCACAAAGCAGTCAGCCTAATGGAAACACTGGTGTAGAATTTAAGTGTGGTTCCCCTGTTTCTTACACTGTTGGTTTAATGGTACAAGGTTAGAAAACATATGCAATAATACCATTTGCAGCTGTTGGCTTATATTGCCAATCGTCTGTCTGTAAACCGAGACACCAGTGGAACACAGCTTCACATACCTACTGTATGTAACTTTATTTCAGGTTTTCTGATGATGTCCAGCAGTCTGTGCTGATGATTGATCTGTTTCTCGTACTTGATGAGTGTTTTTTCAAAGACTTGGAATATTTCTCTGGATAATTCTTTACATTTGGACTTGCACTGAACCAGCATATCAGTCTTCTGCGTCAGTACAAGGTGCTCTCCATCCTGACTGAGGCAGAGTTCCTCCTGTTCCTCTTTAATCTGTGGAGACTCTGGGTCCTCCTGGTCCAGATTGGAGTTCTTTGCCTGGTTATGGAGCTGCTGGTCAGCAAGGACCTCCTCCTGCTCACAAACATGTTGCTGTGGGAGTCCTGGTGGGACAAAGGGACACAAGCATTACTAATGGGACGATAGAAAGACACACATCCATTAAATCATCCATTTTCATCCTCTTAGCCATAAACAGATCACGGGAGGTTAAGCAGGCCTTCCAGACACTACGCTGCCCATCAGTGTTTTCCAGTTCCTTCTGAGGGATGTTCCAGGGTGTTCCCAAGTTCAATCAGATATGTAATCTCCCCGAGTGAGCTGGGTTTACCCTGGGGTCTCCCAGAAAACCTCCAGAGGAAGGCACCCAAGAGGCAGAAAAAAACACATTTGAGCAAACGTCCTGTAGTTTTAACTTGGGCTGAACATGTAATCGCAATTTTTCTGACAGAAATTGTGATTTGACTTTATTACACAATTTCTTCAAGCCAACTCTCAGTTAATATTCACTGTACAATAGATTCAAAACAAGCAATGGAGCATTACCATGAGATACCATCCAAATCCTGACTCACAAGAAGAACACTCAGGATTAAATAAGGAGTCCAACGAGGTCAGAGTCATACATTTTACCGCAGAAAGTACAAATAGGAACTATTTCATCAATCAAAAGTAGTTCAAGTTAAAACTCTATACATTGTGCTGGAGTAACTAAAAAAATGTTTCCGGAATGAGATGTTTAAGTTGAATTTCTTAATGTTTTTTGTAAACTAAAAACAAAACTTACATTTACCTCCATTGTTTTGCTCAAATTTCAGGTTCCAATGGTTTAAACAGACACACAACCCCAAGATTTCTATTTATGCTGTATTTCATTTAGTTATTCTCTGTTCAGTTTGGATGATACTACATGCCACCACCCTACGACTCTGGGGAGAGCTACGGTAGGAACGAACACCAAAATACACAGCAGCAGCAGCAGAACACCTTTTTAATCTTCACTTTTCAAAATATTTTAATTTGTATTTACCTTTAAGGGACAATTCAGGAAACACTGATATTCCTACCATTCTTTAAAAAACAGATTTTGCACAGACCAAACAAAAGTATCTGCTGTAGCCAGGAAACTGATCCCCATCGTGTCAGGAGGAGCACTAACGACCCGCATAACGAGGGGGAGGAGCAACAAACCCCCAGTTGAAACCCAAACTCAGGTGTTAATGACTCCTTCAGGATATCAGGATGTGGAACTCCCAACCAGTCAGTCACAGCTGATGAAGCCTCTTGGATGAAGGTGGAACGTCTTCAAGGAACTCAAGCAGGTCCAGCTGATACCATTAATCTATGAGAATAACCCTGACTGGGATGACTGAGAATCTTCACAGACATAAACTGTGATTTCATTATTTGACTGTTGCTTATTTTGTTATTTTTACCTCAGTAACAAGTTCAGTTCCTGCAGTGAGGCAACTGTATCACTCAAATGCTACATCATTGCATTTAATCTGAAAAACTGACAACTACCTGAAAGAATCCACTTTATACACAAGAAGAAAAGTATGCAGTTCTGAAGTTAAATTGTTATTTGTTTTTTTTTTGCTTAAAATAAAAATGTCACAAGAGCCCTGGTGGTGCTGCAATCATCCTGAATAGGACCGCTTTGTTCTTATTAACTTTAATGCCGAATCTGTTCCATTTGCTGTGCAGTGAAAGCGTTTAGGTTAAAGCTACATACGTCACAATGACACATTACAAGATGTAAATAATTGATGAAGCTACCTGAGGCCTGTTCCACAAACCAAGTTCAACAAATCCTCGTTATCTTGCTTGACTAAACCTAACAGTCAGTATAGGCAATCACAAAGCTGGTGATCCACTCAGTGAATCAATCCTGTTCCTGAACCTGGCTCTGCGTGTTTTCACATGAAAGAGGCCGAGTCAACACCAGATGACAAATCGCAAACATGGACAGGTTTGCTGGCACCACAGCAGCATATTTTACAAAGAGCAAACTATGATATTGGAGAAATGTGAAGATTTTGAACACATACTACAAAATAAAAGAAATACAGCTGCTGCAGTCGAAGCGGGAAAGAAAGCTGCAAAAGCTGCAAGCTGTGTGAATGCATGCTTCTCTATTTCACTGTTACTTTGTTTACAAGTTGCTTTGAGGTCAGTCATTGTATGCAAATCACAAAATAAGACACTATTTTCAACAAATAAATAATCAAGCATTAAAAATAAAACAACTGTTGTGGTGATGTGAAGGACAGATTCACTTCTCTCACATTCAGACTGTGTTCCAAGCTGAATACTTTCTACTTTAAGTACATACTACAGCTGCAGAGTTTCATGCGATATGCGTACAACTGGCACTTACTACTTTGTCAAAACATTGCACCCTAAACTTTGGCTGTTCTTTGTAGTGCAAAGCTTGTTTACACCAGACACTGACAGAATTGCGCAAAGGACTGTTGGTCAGATTGGCCAGACAAGCATGCCGGCTTGCATACTGCAAAATCTGACTGAGGTTCTGGGTATTTTGAGCATACTGCATTTAACATACTGCACAGGTGGTAGAAGCACCCAAATCTGGCTTTGATTTGTTGTGCAATGAACCTTATTTGATGTAACCTTGTACTGTGCATTGTGACTTCAATGTTTTAACTAGTTTAGTTTTTTAGTTTTTATGCTCCACATGTCTGGAACAAACTTCCAGCCAACTGCAGGTCTGCTGAAACTCTCAGCTCCTTTAAATCAAGGATAAAGACATATTTGTTTACTGCTGCCTTTGATTAATGATTGTTTTAATACCAGCACTGCATTGTCACTTTTTTTTAAAAGATATTTTTTGAGGCTTTTCTGCCTTTAATGTATAGGACAGTGAAAGAGTGACAGAGAAACATGGGGAGAAGTGTGGGGAAAGGACAGGCAGCAAATAAGCCATTGGCTGGAATTGAATCACAGCCACTGCATCAGGGACTCCAGCCCCTGGATAGGGGGGGTAGCTCAACAGGTTGGCCAGTCGACCCATGGCCAACCCATGACCCATGGGTCGACTGGCCAACCTGTGGAGCTATCCGCTTGCAGCTCTAAAATATTCTCCTCTCACTATCTGTACACTGTAAATTACAATAGATTTACTCAGTAATGAATAAACCAGTCCTGAAGTTAAACCTGAAATGACCCGGCTAACCTTAAGTCCTGGTTTGCAGCACAGGCCTCTGCTGGGCCACCTGAGCACAGTTCCTCCCTCAGTGTGATGCTGCAGCTGTTTCACAAAGAAAACAAGGCCATTTTCTATGTGTGTGTTTTTCCCACAACAACACAATGTGAAAGCAGAGTTCAAGAGTTGTGTGAGTTCTTGAATTAGTGACACTGTGAAGGAAGCAGATCTGAGCTCCGCTGGGCCCACTTCAAGCCCGTTAGCTTGTCAGCCGTAGGGCTGGGTTAGCTTCGCTAGTTAGCCTCGTTAGCATGTGAACCTGTCCGCAGTCAGTGTATGTTGTGCTCGTTGGCTCACAGTCACACCTCATGTTCCTACACTCTGGAGTGACCGACAAGCTCCGGTTCTCTTGTGTCTTCTACATTCACACCATGACAGCTCCACATACCTGTCGTGTCTAACGTTATCTGTGGTTTCCAGATGACATCCAGCAGTCTGCGCTGACGATCGATCACTTCCTCGTACTGGACGATGGTTTTTTCAAACTCTGTGAATATTTCTTCAGCAGCAGCAGTTAGTCGCTCGTTGATCAACTCTCTCAGATTCTGAACTGAACTCATCGTTACTTCATCAGATGAAATGACTTATCCAACATTTATACTTTCAAACATGAAAACATCCGTGAAGCTAACGCTGCTGGCGTCTTCTCATCCTTCATGTTCGTTGGGAGTCACACTGTTAAAGTCCGGTGGAAACACTGCGTTACCTTTTAATTCCGTCTTCAACTGAAAACCTTTACTGTAGCAGCTGGTCAAAGTGGAGTTTTATTTTCTACCTAGTTCACCCACTCACTAACAGTTTGACTAGATGTAATATTTTTCAACATATATGTTCAAGTATCTATATTTGCATGTGTAATACAGCAAAGTATAAGTACATTTAAAATAAAATTAAATCATTAAAAGTACCAAAAAAAATCTCTAAATTGATGTTTTGTTTTTTTTTTTAAATGAAGTGCTCAAGATTTCATGTGTGTGTAATCTAAACATGGTCTGGACCACCTGAGGACCATAACACTGTACTTACAGTACTTGAGTAAACGTACTCAGTTAATATAAGTAATATAAGTATATATAAAGCTATCCATTATCTATACACCACTTAATCCTGGAGTCTATCCCAGCTGACTCAGGGTGAAGGCAGGTTCACCTGGACAGGTAACCAGTCTATCACAGGGCTACACTTAGAGACAGACAACCAAGCACACTCACATTCACACCTACGGACAATTTACAATCACCAATTAACCTCAGCATGTTTCTGGACTGTGGGAGGAAGCCGGAGAACCCGGAGAGAACCCACGCTGCACGGGGAGAACATGGAGACTCCACGCAGGAAGATCCCGGGTGTCCTCACCGGGACGCCAACCGTCGACCTTCTAGCTGTGAGGCAACAGTGTTAACATATATTATGATTATTTTCTTTCTTTTCTTTTATTTCTCTCTCTATATCTCTCTCTCTATATATATATTCATTGATATTTATTTAGAAAACTCTTTATTTACTTATTTAATAACTTTATTTCTATAGCACCTTTCAGATGGTTTCAAGATGCTTTACAAAAAAGAGCAACAATAAAACATTGAAGGCAATGAGAGCTGTAAGAGTAAAACCTCAGCCTGCCTTTGTTATAAGCCTGGACTGTGGGACCTCTAACAGCTGGTCGAGACACAGAACAAAGAGGTTGATAGTTCTCAGATGTGGAGCAGGGTCAGACTGTGTGTAGAAATTTAAAACTATTCAGCAGAATCATAGATTGAATTCTGTAACGAACAGGGAGCCTGTGTAACGGAAGTGTTTACTGTAACTGTAAATCTGCATCATTGAGGCAAGTGAATAGTGAGTTGCAGTGGTCGGTCCATGACGAAGTTGTGGATGAATTTTTCAACCATATTTTTGAGAAGACTCTTAATGGCTGACTGAGGTTGAGTTTGTAATCAAAACAACTCCTACGTTTCTGGCTGAGTGCCTTCATGGTCACTCTCCATCTTGTTAGTTGTCCAGGATTGGTTACAATGTGGCACTATTTCTGATTTGCACATAGCAAGACTTAACAAGAAGTTGAGGTATTGATCAACCCTCTTGTTTCTGGCTAAGTGCTTCATGTCCATTGTTAGTGGTCCAAGATGGAGACTGATACTGTTCAGGCATGATCAGGACCAATTGCCAGAACTTCAGTTTTTTTCTGTGTTCAGTTGCAAGAAAATAAAAGCCATCTAGTCCTTAATGGCACCAAGAAAGTAATGCAGGAAATCCAGATGGTGACAGTTTTCAGAGCTAAACAAGAAATACAATCAGGAGTCACTGACATAACAGATGTAGGACACATGAGCGAAACAGCAAATAACAAGGAGCAACAGATTTAAACGAAACACTCTGGGACCACACATGACATGAAGAACAAAAGTTGTCAACAGTAAATTGTGTGAAATGTAAATGTTACCTGGCCCCTCTGAGGACAGCTATGTTGTAATTAGAGTACTTCAGTAAATGTGCCCACTTAGTGGAAGCAGGCTATAGTTGAGAAAGTATTGTCACTGACGTGCTGGTTTGCGCAGGAGTGAAAGAAGTACTCAAATTCTTTTCCTTAAATGAAAGTACCAGCACCTCAGCATAGAAGTACTCACTTACAAGCAAGAGTCCTGCCTTCAGAATTTTCTTAAATACAAAAGTATGAGCACCAAAATATACTTAAAGTACCAGAAGTAAAAATATACATTATGTAGAATGACACTTTTCAAAATAATGTATGATATTGGATTATAATTAATGACGCATTAAGAAGTTTGTCACTTTATTGTTGCAGCTGGTAAAAATGAAGTTGATTTTAATATTTACTGGGGGGTAGTTGTAAGTTTTTCCTGCCTGGGGAATCAATAAAATCAATTATAAATTAAGTAATGCAATGTCCACAAAATCCAATATAACGCTGTGACTTTCTGTTGCAAGTTTACTGTGCTTTTGTAAGAGTCACCACATATCCATTGGGCAGTTTTACAGCTCAAAGTGATTGTGCAGTGCGACACAGATGGAAATCAGACTTTATTAGATCAATCTCTCACAGTGCGACATGTAATAAACTCACAGGATCATTGTTGAAGCACAATCTTAACCTGAAAGAAATATTACATGAAACTCTGTTTCCCAAATATGTTTCAGGACTACGGCTTCTGTGAATACTTAAGTCACTTCCCAGTGCTGATACATATTTAAGTCTTCCCTAGCAGTTCTTGAGTTGCCAGTCAAATTCCTACTTAGATTGAAACTTCTCCACCATGTTTCACAAGAATATAGCTACTCACTTGGGCAAGTTCTCATGTGGTGCAACAAATGCGTACGTTGAGCGAAACGTTTTCCACGTTTCACAAGACTACGGCTTCTCGCCTGTGTGGGTTCTCTCGTGGTGCTCCAAATAAACACGCCGAGTAAAACCTTTCCCACACGTTTTACAAGAATACGGCCTCTCACCTGTGTGAGTTCTCATGTGTGGCAAAAAACTACCATAGTGAGTGAAACTTTTCCCACAAGTTTGGCAAGAATACGGCTTCTCACCTGTGTGAGTTCTCAAGTGGACAGTTAAACTACTACTTACACTGAAACTTTTCCCACAAAATTTGCAAGCATAGGGCTTCTCACCTGTGTGAGTTCTTGAGTGAGAAGTCAAACTACTCTTTAAACTAAAACTTTTCCCACATGTTTTGCAAGAATACGGCTTCTCACCTGAGTGAATTCTTAAGTGGTAGAACAAATTACCACGCTGACAGAAACTTTTCCCACATGTTGGGCAGCGATATGGTTTCTCTCCTGTGTGAATTCTCATGTGACTTTTGAGTCCTGATGAATCTTTAAACCTTTCCCCACATGTGTTGCAGGGGTAAGGTTTCTCACCGGTGTGCAATCTTACATGGACAGTCAATTTACTATTGTCATTGAAACTTTTCCCACATATTTCACATGAATATGGCTTCTCACCAGTGTGAGTTCTCATGTGGCCCAACAAATGATCACGACGACTGAAACTTTTTTCACACATTTCACAAGAATACTGTTTCTCACCTGTGTGGACCACCATGTGGACTTTCAGCTGAGAGCTGAAGCTAAAACTTTTCCCGCATGTTTTGCAAACATGTGCCTTCACACGTGTGTGGTTTCTGTGATGTCTCTTCATTTGGAGCTTATTCTTAAATACTTTCCCACAAATGTCACATTCTTTCCCTGTGTCAGCATCAGAAGGACTCTCTGACATGGAAGAATTGTTTGTATTGTTACTGTGCCTGCTGGTTGTTTGGCATCTCTTTTTTTTCTTCAGCTGCGCATTACTAGTTGATTCTGAGTCTACATGCTTGCTTTCTTCCTGGTCTTGGCTCTCAGATACAGGAGAATTGTAAGAGAAGAGCTGGTCACTGTTTGGTTCTGATTCACTGTGGTCACTTTCCCCATAAACTGCTATCATCATACAAGAATCAGTCGCCTGTTTCAAGACAAGCCGCTCTCCCTCCTGACTGAGGCAGAGTTCCTTCTGTTCCTCTTTAATCTGTTGCTGCTCTGCAGCCTCCTGCTCCAGACTAAAGTTCCTCTCCTGTTCAGAGAGCTGCTGCTCTGTGAGAGCTTCCTCCTCCTTACAGGCATGTTGTCGTGGAAGATCTGTGGGGACAGAGGGACACAAAATAGGTTTTTATGTGATGATAGCTAAGCATACATCCTAGCAAATATATTCTAATTTAACCCGATGAAGCCCAAACACATTTTTACTCATCACATTTTATTCACTGTGGACACGTCTAGCGAACAGCACACAGTTAGAGCTTCATAAATACTAAACAAAAAAGTTTTATTAGAATACGTATTTCTGCACCTGTTGAAAGAAACTGTAATCAATATGTACCACATTTTTCCAAATGCCAGCAAATGTTACCAGAATTGGGGGAGATGAACTGTACATACCACAGATATCACAGCTAAGTCAGGCATGGAGTGTCAGTTGTGCCAAACAGCACAGAATATTTTGTGTTTTTTACAGGAAAGCTTTATTTTTGGCAAGTTTCTGAATGAGACAGAAAAGAGTATTTTGATAAAATATGATGATCTTAAGGTTAAACTTTTCAATCAAAAGTCACTCGCTGATGGTAATTCCATGATTTGAAATGATGACAGAATGAACCTAGCAGGTTTGTGTCTCTGTATTATGGTGGAGAGACAGGTTTTGACACAACACTGCACTCAGCCAAGATTGTTTATGAGGCAGAAGAAGCATTACCCTCCAACACTTTGTACAATAAGAGTGTTTCTGTAGCCAACAGAGTAAAACGTCTTCTCTTTAAAACCCTCAGCTGATCAGATTAATTCCAGCAGTAAGAAAATCAGAGTTATTTTTTTTTGGAACCCAGTGGACATAAAGGAAACACCGCCAGACCCTAAGAATTGAAGTCAGTTTCTCCTGTGACTTACACACACTGTAAGTTTATGCATTAATAATATTTACTGCAGCTGCCTTTTAGTTACTATATGTGACCCTAAAAACCAATGTGATGTAGATTTACATATCTATTGTGTGTCATTTATTTCAGGTTTCCAGGTGACATTATCAATCTGTTTCTCATACTGGATGAGTGTTTTTTCAAAGACTTGGAATATTTCTCAGGATAATTCTTTACATTTGGACTTGCACTGAACCAGCATACCAGTCTTCTGCATCAGTAAAAGGTGCTCTCCATCC